ATTCGTTGGATAAACGAGTCTTATATATGTATATATGTTGCATGCTAGTGGAATTGGTATCCCGTTGGCCTAGGTGAAAGGAGTATGAACCCCTTAGGATTATTCCTAGTATGTGGATGACCACGCATAGGTTTCGTTATACGTTTTCTCCCCTTATCCCAATGTGTTAAATTGGGTTGCATGTGCTTGCTATGTGTTATGTGTGCATGATACCCCAATTTGGTTGCGATCAAATTGGTTATTCCTGAGCTGCGGTTCAGAAGCTGGCTGTGGTCAGAATTACACTCTCGGGTTGCGGTCCACCGTTTGGTTGTGGTCAAACGTTTTACATGAGCTGCGGTTCATATTCCTGGCTGCGGTCAGATGACTACTCTTGGGCTGCGGTCCACTGTTTGGTTGCGATCAAACATTATGATGAGTTGCGGTTCATCGGTCGGTTGCGATCAACCCCTTCGTATTGCGACACGAGGCAGGGTGCTGCGGGGCCGTGTCAGAGCTATATGCGCTGACCCTCATGTATGAGCATGCGATTGGTCCTGTGGCGCCACCAAAGTGTGCTTGTGTGTGATGAGATACGAATTGGGATGTTGATATGAATGAGATGAAATGAATTTGTGACCTTAGGATATATGCTAGTATCTCTATATGCTTGTTTATAACTGTTGAATGTGCTTATCCCTATCTGTCGAGTCTATTCTTGGTTTTAAAACTAGTGTCTCTTAAGTATATATCTTCCTGCTTCAAAATGGTTTTCGTATATCTATATATATATCTATCTATATTGTATTTCAACGCGTTGGAGTGGGTTACCAGCATCTCTCGCTGAACAGATATATTTGGCTTTCAGGCACAGAGAAGTAGACAGTGGAGCGCGCTATAGATTTGGAGCGTGGAGTAGATAGTGTTCCCTTTCGGTCTGCGTGCCATGCTTATGTATTTACATTATCGAGGATATTAGTTAGTTGGCCTGTGCACCTGGGTTCTCTAGCCCAGGTGTGGCATAGCACCCCGTACTCTATTATATTATGTTTTGGGTTTTAATGGGAATTTACCTTCATTATATAAGTTTCAAAAGTTTTAAAATATCGGGGTGTTACAAAACGGCTCGGCGAAACGCACGTGGAAGCCCCGACCGCAAAGGGCATCCACAAGAGCCGCTACCCGGTCGGCGAGTGGCTTGATAAAGTGATATTCCCCAAGGACTTCGATTCCGTTGAAGGGTGGGGGGGGGGGGGGGAGGATCCCGACCTGCTGCTGGACGGCATTGCCCACCGCAGCTATCAGGTATGGCTTCCTTACTGGCCGGTCTTGCCTACCTTTCCTCTATACTTGTTCATACTTGTGTGTTTTTAACTGCTCCTCTTGGTAGCAGGCCTTGATGTGCCAACTTTCCCTCCACCTCCGCCAAAAGTTCATGATGACCGAGCTGAAGGACTTGCATGCCATCCAGGACTCGTATGCCTCCCAGGTGGACGACTTGAACCTGAAGCTCGGGCTAGCTGCATTTTCCCTGGAGGCTGAGTAGAGGAAGAGTGACCAGCTAGCGACTGAGCTGCACAACGCCCAGGAAACCGCCCTTGTTGCTTTTAGGCAGTCTCCCGAGTTTTAGAAGGAAGTGGCAGAGTTTGCAAGGGCTAACGCCAAGGGCGTCGCCATGGAGTTGCTGGCTTTTGTGGCCGACCAGACTTATCTTGCCGAGGCGGGGACCGAAGACTGTCAGGCAGGGATGACGAACATTCAGAAGGAGATCTACACCACCCTGGGCCGTCGATATTCGGACTTCGACCCATATCGCTATGGACTCTCGGCCACCCTGTATGAAGACCACACGAACCTTGCTACCCCCGCGTTTGAAGAAGGGGAGGCCGTCCTGGAACATCAGGCGGTCGAAGGAAGAGGCGGCCTGTACCACCCCTAATTTCTAAAACATTTAAAGCCTATTAAATAAACGTAATTTCATCATTAATCATCCAAACAAAGCGGAACTAACAACATAAGTATCGGGTTGATATGCCACATATAGGTTTGAGAACCTAGATGCACAAGTTAGGCTAACTGAACAAGTCATAAACTATAATTAATATCTACAATACAATTCAAGGCTCACAGGCCAACTAACTAATGCTAAGCTAAATCCACGAGTACATCTAACGCACTCCAAAACTACTGATCTGCACCTGAAAATCATACGGTGTAACAACCGTTAACGAATAATGCTGGTAACCCACTCCCACGCGTTAAGTACAATAAATATAAATATAGGAAATCATTTTGAAACTGGAATACATATATAATCTTGAGCAACACTAGCTTTAAAACCCGGATCAAGACTCGAGACACTATCAATAAGGCACATTTCGAATATTATAGAGATACTAGCATGCATCCTACATTTGCAAGGCATAAGAGACAAGTAAGCTCATAAATAGCAATTAAAGGCAACAATGGGATCCAATGACAATCAATTAGAAAGTAATCCTCAATGCACACAATCCATCTTCCAACTTATACCAAGTTCCAACCTTTACTCCTCTCCATCCTTATATCAGTTCCAACCTGTACCTCCAGACCACCCTTATATCGCCTCCCTTATCCCTCTGGGCAACTACATGCCCCCACAGACATACCACCAAGGTAGCACCGAAGTGTCATTCGCATGATCCGTGCCTCTAGCACCACTATCAAGGGGTTAGCGCATATAGCTCTGACATGGCACCGCGACGCTTATACCATGACCCAAGCCTTTAGCCAGCAAGTCTAAGGGGTGGTCCGTGCCTTTAGCACGATAACCGAGCACTCGTTGTGCTATCTGCCAACAATTCATTTCCACCAATCACAATCTCATTATCATCGATCTCAACCATCATTGCGCAATGATCACAATACCCCTCATCATTCAATCAAACAACATATAATCAACAATAACAATCAAGGTATAATAAGAACGAAACACACTACACATAAATTCCTAGAACGGTACTCAAAACATCATACGAGACTCATAAACATCGAACGGGGTACAACGGGACACGGGGAAACAACAAACGTGGAATGTCGCCGCCAAGGGCCTTCTTCTACCCAGGAGAGCACCCCCACTAGACCAACGGAGGGTGTGAACTTAAGGTAGCCCAGTCGTCTGTATTCTTTTTCTTTTCTTTTCTTTTCTTTTCTTTTGTATGTAATCTGCCCTTCCTTGCTTTTTTGAATATGAACTTTGCCCGCCGGGCTTTTTTGCTTTATGACTGCTTTCTTTCCTTTATTGTTTCTCCATCCTTGTAAGTACAATTGACCGCCTGCGGACCCTGGATAGGCCCGCAAGACTGCTAAACCCCTCAGCGGGCGAGGCTGGCTGCCTACTAGTCGCCGAGGAACATCCCAAAAATAGCTAAGTCTCTCAGTCGGCGAAACTGGCTACCTACAAAGCCCCCGGGGAACATCCAAGACTACCGAGTCCCTCAGTAGGCGAGGCTGCCTACCTACGAGGCCCCGAGGAACCTCCAAAATTGCCAAGTCCCTCGGTGGGCGAGGCTGGCTGCATACAAGCCCCCGAGGAACCTCCAAAATCATCAAGTCCCTCGGAGGGCGAGGCTGGCAGCCTACGAACCCCCGAGGAACATCCAAGACTGCCGAGTTCCTCAGTGGGCGAGGCTGGCTGCCTACGAGCCCCCGAGGAACATCCAAGACTGCCGAGTCCCTCAATGGGCGAGGCCGGCTACCTACGAGCCCCCAAGGAACCTCCAAAATCGTCAAGTCCATCGGAGGGCGAGGCTGGCTGCCTACAAGCCCTCGAGGAACATCCAAGACTACCGAGTCCCTCAGTGGGCGAGGCAGGCTGCCTACGAGCCCCTGAGGAACATCCAACACTGCCGAGTCCATCAGTGGGCGAGGTCGGTTTCCTACGAGGCCCCGACTAACCTTCAAAATCTCCAAGTCCCTCGGTGGGTGAGGCTGGCTGCCTACAAGATCCCGAGGAACGTCCAAAATCACCAAGTCCCTCGGTGGGCAAGGCTGGCTGCTTACAAGCCCCCGAGGAACATCCAAGACTACCGAGTCCCTCAGTGGTCGAGGCTAGCTGCCTGTGAGCCCCCGAGGAACTGAACGACCTTTAGCAGCCAAATCAGCCACGCCCGAGAAGGCGGGATTAGCCTTTGTCGCCAAGAGGAGGTGATAATCCTCGTGGCGTGGCCGCCCTCACCTGAGAAAGTTGAATCAGCCTTCCTCATCAAGAGGAGGTAATGATCTTCGCGGCGTGGCCGCCTTCGCCTGAGAAGGCGGAATCAGCCATCCTCGTTAAGACGAGGTAATAGTATTCGCGGTGTGGCCGCCCTCGCCTGAGAAGGTTGAATCAGCCTTCCTCATCAGGATGAGGTGATGATCTTCGCGGCGTGGCCGCCCATACCTGAGAAGGCGGAATCAGCCATCCTCGTCGAGAGGATGCGATAGTCATCGCGGCATCGCCGCCCTCGCCTGAGAAGGTGGAACCAGCCTTCCTCGTCAAGAGGAGGTGGTAATCTTCGCGGCGTGGCCGCCCTCGCCTGAGAAGGTGGAATCAGCCTTCCTCGTTAAGAAGACATGATAATCTTCGCGGCGTGGCCGCCCTCGCCTGAGAAGGCGGAATCAACCTTCCTCGTCGAGAGGAGGTGATAATCTTCGCAGCATGGCTACCCTCGCCTGAGAAGGCGAAATCAGTCTTCCTCGTCAAGAGGAGGTGATAGTCATAATGGCGTAGCTGCCCTCGCCCAAGAAAGCGGAATCAGCCTTCCTCGTCAAAAGTAGGTGATAGTCTTCGCGGCGTGGCCGCCCACGCCTGAAAAGGCGGAATCAGCCTTCCTCGTTAAGAGGAGGTGATAGTCTCGTTATAGAAAACCCAGTTGACGAAATTATCTGAACTTTATTACTAACCAACTGGCGGGAAGTGCTCACGAAACAAATGGCCGCTAAGTGCCTACAACGAACTAATCAAGTGATAAGAGATGAAAAGGAAAATCATAACCAGAAAGTCACTGGTAGAATTTCTTAAGGTGGTGAGTGTTCCACATTCGTTCCACAGGCTCGCCCTCCTGGTAGCGCTTGACAGCCTTCTGGTACTCGACCATCCGAGCATAGGCTACGTCTCGCCTTTCCTCCAAGAGATTCTTTTCAATTCGCAGCGTTCCTTCATTTCCTTCGTCATTGTACAGCAAGACTCGTCGACTAGGCACCAAGAGCTCGGTTGGGACCTTCGCCTCGAACCGGTATGCTAAGGCAATAGGGGTTTCAACAGTCTCCCTTCGCGGGGTCGTCCGGTACGCCCATAGTACCTTCTCCAACTGCTCAACCCATGTGTCACCTAACTCCTCTAACTTTTTCCACAACCCGTCCAAGAGTGTACGGTTTAAGTTCTCAATCTGTCCATTCGCCTGGTGGTAAGCTACGGACACCTTAATGTGCCGAATACCATTCTGTACACAGAAAGTCGCGAAGGCCCTGTTGTCAAATTGTCGTCCGTTATCTGTCACTAGCTGCTCGGGCAACCCAAATCTGCATATGATGTTCTTCTAGATGAACCAACGACATTGATACTCGGTGATGGTTGTCAGGGGCTCAGCATCTGCCCACTTAGTGAAATAATCAACGGTCGCGATGCAGAAACGCACTCGCCCGGGCACTTGGGGCAGCGGCCCGAGTAGGTCGATACCCCACTTACAAATGGTATCGCAGTAGTAATCGGGGTATAAAAGGTTGCCGGCCGGGTGCTCTTTTTAGCGAACACTTGGCACACAGAGCATTTTAGCACTTCCTCGACGCAGTCTTTCACCATGGTTGGCCAATAGTAGCCCCGAACGATGAGCTTCTTGGCCAGAGTGTTGTCCCCTTGAGGGGCCTCACAGATTCCTCGATGGGTGGCTGCCATCACGGTCCTGGCTTCCTCAGGGAGTAGAGAGCATAACAACGGCCTTCCGTCAGATCTCTTATAGAGCAGCCCATCCACCAACTCGAAGGAGGGAGCTCTCCTTCTTATGCAGTCGGCATCCTCCTTATTGTCAGGTAACTCCGCCTTTTGCTTATACCTGATCAAGTCCGTTAGCCACGGCCACTTGGGCTGGTTATCATGGCTGGGTAGGGAAGTGGGTGCCTGGACAACTGCGCAAACCGAGAGCATTTCGGTGCTTGGTCGCTCTACGACCGCGATGCGACAAGCCATCGACAGGTACAGGGGTACCCTTCCCAAGGCCAACTTCGATAGGATATCTGCTTCAGCATTCTCGGCTCGCGAGATGTGAACAATCTCGTAGGCTTCCAACTTATTCAATAACCCTTTGACAACATCTTTATAGAGTCTTAGCCTTTCCTCCCTGGTCACGCAATCGGATTTTAGCTGACTTACTACTAAACGGGAGTCCGTCCTCACACGCACCCGGGCAGCTTGGAGGGCGATGACCAGCCGCAACCCTCAGATAACCGCCTCATACTCCGCCTCATTGTTGGAGGTTCGAAATTGGTATCTTAAGGCATAATATAGGCGGAATCCCTCGGGGGTGGTGACCATGACGCCACCTCCACAATGCCGGGTGCTGGCGGCACCGTCGGTGTGTATCTCCCACCATTTCGCTGCCTCCGGACCTTCAACCAGCGAGCTCTCCACCGGGTGGGCGGAGCATTCTACTATGAAGTCAGCAAAGGCCTGGGCCTTGATGGACGTCCGCAGAGCGTACTCAATCCCGTACTGGGTGAGCTCCATCGCCCACTTGAGTAGTCGTCCAGAGGATGACGGATTACGCAACGTACCGGCCAGCGGCAAGTCAGTCAACACCCTAACTGTGTGAGCTTGAAAGTAAGGCACTAATTTTCTGACCGTGGTGACTAAAGCGAAAGCCACCTTATCCAGGGGAGAATAATTGATTTCTACGCCCTTCAATGTCCGCCCGACGTAATAAACTAGCATCTGGATTTTCTCCTCTTCCCACACTAGAACTGCTCCGACCACCTTGTGCAAGGCGGCAGGTATAATGATAGCGTTTCCCCCTCCTTGGGTTTAGACAAGAGGGTTGGAGCCAAAAGATACCTCTTTAAGTCTTCGAAGGCTACCTGGAATTCTCCAGTCCATCGGAACCCGTCCTGCCTTTTCATAACCTCGAAGAAGGGGGAGGGCCCGATCGGCGGACTTAGACAAGAATCGGCTAAGGACGGCCATCTGACCAGTCATTCGTTGCATTTCCTTAAGATTATTGGGCGGCCGCATATCTAGAATGGCTCGCACTTTCTCCAGGTTTGGTTCTATTCCTCATCGGGTGACTATGTAGTCCAAAAACTTTCCTCCTTTGACCGCGAACGTGCAATTCTTGGGGTTTATCCTTAGATTGAACCTCCTCATAATTTCAAAGCAATCCATCAAATCCTTCATATGTTCGGTTTCCTCCTTGCTCTTAACGAGCATGTCATCAATGTAGGTGGCCATGGATCCGCCTATTTGCCCTCTGAACAATCGGGGTACCATTCGGGTATAAGTGGCACCAGCATTCTTGAGGCCAAAAGGCATTACCCTATAGCAGTATACCCCATTCGGGGTGATAAAGGCGGTCTTTTCTTCATCTGACTCGTGCATGAATATCTGATGGTAGCCGCGAAAGGCGTCCATGAAGCTGAGCAAGGGAAAGCCAGCCGTTAGTCCACACACATTTTCCACGCCGGCGGCTTGGGCACCAACACCACATTGGCCAGCCAGCCGTGGTATTTAACTTCCCGAATATGCCCCGCGGCTAGAAGCGTATCTACTTCCCGCTTCACGAAGTCCCTCCGATCATTTGACAAATGCCTTCTCTTCTGCGCCACGGGGTTGAGGTCAGGATCGACCGCCAACCTATGCGTTATGATCGACCGGTCGACTCCTAGCATATCGTCGAGCCCCCACGCGAATATCTCCTTATATTCCCCGAGAACTATCGTGACCGCCTGCTTCACAGAGGTAGGCTGCTCAGTTTCGATCCGGATTGTTCTATCGGGATGCTCAGCTTCCAGGATGATTTCCTCTAATTCGACTACAGGGGTGAGACGCTCCTCTGGCCGCTCAGCCACCTAAGGGGCAATAGTGTTTACCCTGTCAAAGTTCTTCCCAACCTTCTGGTAAGCTTGCAAGTAGCAACTACGAGTCGTCTTCTGATCACATCGCACTACTCCGACGCCAGTCGGTGTGCGAAACTTCATACACAAATGCTCGATAGAGATCAGGGCGCCCAAATCCTCTAGCCCTGGTCGGCTGAGGATGACATTATGCACACACTTTAGAGCCACGACCACGAACTCCATTTCCAACTTCCTTACTTGAGGCCAGGTGCCCAACTCGACGGTCTAAGAAACGCACCCTTCCGCCTCGACCGCATCGCTGGTGAATCCGGCCAAGGGGGCCCTGACTGGTCGCATCTGTTCCCTAGGCAGTCCCAATTTTTGGAAGGCTTTTAGGTATAGCACGTTGACGCTACTACCCGTGTCAACCAGCACTCGTTGGGTAACTGACCCCTGGATGTCCATCGCAATAACCATGGCGTCTCGATGTGGCGTGGAACCTCTAGGTAGGCCATCGTCTGTAAAGACGATCGGCTCTCTGCACATTTTCTTATGGTCTGGCTCTTAGATGGCTATCGCCACCACATACAGCTGTCTGGCGCACGCCTTCCGGGCCCTCGCGGAGTCACCGCCTTTGTGACCGCCCACTATCATGTTAATCACCGGCTTGTGCTTCCAGTTCCTGTTCCCGTCTTCCTCTCGCATGGGCTGCTTACCCTTATCGGCGGCTATCGCCACGTTCTGATCGGCCGTCCCCTTCTGCCCTGCCAAACCCGACATGCGCCACTGGTTTGGGGCCGGCGGCCGGCCACGCTTGATAAGCGCCTCAATTTCTTCCTTTAAACCTTAACATTCTTCCGTGGTATGGGTGCTCGTGCGGTGGTATAGGTAGTAAGATGGGGGGTTCGCACCGACCACTTGGGGCCTATCACCAGGGCGGATAGGCGAGGGCACAAGTAGCGGGGCACGGACCTCGTGAACAGGCTGTGCCATCGGCGAGACGCAGGAGCTCCTACTGACCGGGCGGGAAGGCGCTGTCGGGTCCGCTCGGTCAAACGCTCCAGGACCGACTGTGCCGGGGTTACGAGTCCAAGTCGTGAATGCGCCGAGCGGTTGGTGTAACACCCCAGATTTTCGAAACTTATAAAACTTATATAATAAAGGCAATTTCTCATTAAATCCCAAAATAGAGCATTACTAAACATAAGTGTCCGGGGTGTTATGCCACATCTAAACTGGAGAACTCAGATGCACAGGCTATAGTAACTAAATATCCTCAAAGCAATGTCAATACATCATCATGGCATGCAGGCCGAAAGGAAAACTAACTGTCTACGCTTCGGATCTTTAGCGCGCTCCGGAGTCTACTCATCTGTGCCTGAAAGCCAAATATATCTGTTCAGCGAATAATGCTGGTAACCAACTCTAACGCGTTAAAATACATTATAGGTAAATATATAAGTATATAGATATAGGAAAATCATTTTGAAGCAGGAAGATATATTCTTAGGAGACTCTAGTCTTTAAAACCAGGAATAAACTCGACAGATAGAGATAAGCACATTCCACAATGATAATCAACTATATAGAGACAACATCATATTCGTATATGCACCTAAGGTCACAGTTTACTTATATGTCGTTCACATCATCATTCAATCCATATCTTTCTCACACAAGCATACTTTGGTGGCGCCACGGGACCAATCACATGCCCCAAACACGAGGGTTAGCACATATAGCGCTAACACGGCCCAGCGGCACCCTACCTCATACCGCAGTATGAAGGAATTGACCGCATCCAATTGTATAGACCGCTGAGGAGTTCAACGGCGGAACCCAGTCCTACACACCGCTGACGCGTTCAATCGGTGGACTGTGATCCTCTTTCAGGGACTACGATCCTACACACCGCTGGCGAGCTCAGTCGGTGGATCGTAGCCGATCATAGCCCTACACACTGCTGACGAGCTCAGTCGGAGGACTATGGCCTTCCTCGTGACCTGTAGCCCTACACACCGCTGACGCGTTCAGTCGGTGGACTGCCGCACACGAGGCCCACTTAGAGAACTGCAGCACTACACACCGCTGACGAGCTCAGTCGGTGGACTGCAGCTTATGAGAACCGACTTGACCGCAACTAAGAGTCATGCACACATATCACGTAGCAAGCACATGCAATTCACATTAACACATTGGGAAAGGGGAGAAAACGTATAAAGAATCCTGTGTGTAGTCATCCACGTACTAGGACATATCTTAAGGGTTCATGCATCCTTTGCCTAGGTCAACGGGGTAACAATTCAACTAGCATGCAATACACGAGACTCTTTTATCCTACGAACGGCACCCGAAACATCAAATTAGACTTAGGCACGATAAACGGAGTCCATCGGGACACCACGAGGGTCGGGGAACATCAAACGGGGAAGCCAAAATCCCACCGTGGGAAAAATCCAGCGGGTGGCCGGTGGGTGGAGGACCACTCGCCGGCTGCCAGCTGGCGGCGACAAACTGGGCAGCGGGTGCCCAGCGGGCAGTCACCTGCCCACTGCCGACAACGCCCTTAGGGGCAGCGGGTAGGTAGCGGGTTCCCCTACCCCCACCTACCCCCCACTGACACTTTTTCAATATAACGGTCCCGGGATCTTTCGTGGAACCCGAAACCATGTTTAGACACTTTTAAACATAAACGACGACACCACGTAGTCAAATAATGGATCAAAACCAAGAATCATATTGAACGTGTCCTAACATGACTTCTAAACATAAATAACGCCCAAACATGCGAAACCCCACCCAAATATACCAAAAATATCATAAGACGGAATTCCCAAATTTTACCTAGGGCTCTAACCATATTCAAATCATCAAAATCATTGTTTGTCTTTAAAATCAAGAACATCAAGATTTATCAAGAACATCACACAATCATCAAGATCCTCTTCTAATCATCAAGATTATCAAGATCAACACATAAGATCATCTCATCAATCATCAAGATCATATTATCATCATAAAAGATTTTATCAAGACTTAAGCAATAGAGAGAAGCCAAAGAAGAAGATTATAGAAAAGAAAATAGGTTTTGTTGAGACATGGGTTACCTCTTAGCCTTAACTAGAATACTTGGCTATAAAGGGTCTTTCTTTAAGATCTCTTCTTCTTGATTTCTCCTATGGGAATTCTTGGGAGTTCTTGTGCGGTGAAAGTTATTGTGGTGTGTCTTCTAGGTGCCTCCTATGTCCCTATTTATATATCTAAGAGTCCTAATTAGGGTTTGAATGGTATGGGTTTGGCTAGTTCTATTTTTTATAGGACTAGGGGGTTGGTTTTAGGGATAAGGGTCCATGGTCTATGGTGGACCCTTCCTAGTTAATTAATGGATTTTAATTCTCTTTTTAGGGTAAACAATTAAACAATTAGTTCGGGTTAGAGGATGTAACACGGGGTGTTACACCCTCTCCCCTTACGAGATGCTTCGTCCCCGAAGCTGGTGAGTGGACCCATTCTTTCACCCCTGGACGTCACGTATTTTGGTCTCCTGGTTAGGAAATGTGGCTCCACGTGTCGTTTCTTGCTAGGGTAGATTGGATCTTTGGTGAGGTGGTGTTTGGAAAGTTTGGGGTCTACCTTGGTTTCCTGCTCCCGAGCTGGACGCCCCGCGTGTGCCCATCA